GCAAGGGCAGCATGTGCCCAGCTGATCGGCAGAACACCTTTCAAGGGATACCACACTCCCATGAGTCAGGATGCCTGGGTTCTAGCCCAAGCTCTGTGGACAAGTGGGGTGCACAGTGGTGGTAGCAGTGTGAGTGGGTGCCAGGATTCCTAAGTTCTCCTGCTGGCTGTGCCACTGACTTGCTGTGGGATCTTGGGCAAGTCCCTTCACCTCTCCCTGTCTCAGTTTCCCCTGTAACATGGGGCAAGGAGCATCGCGGAGGCTGTGTTGATCCACAGGGCTGTCTCTCCCAGGGAGGAGGAGCACATTAGCCACAGAGCCGTCAGGTGTCCGTGTGGAAAGATTCCTGTCTGCTCCAGCATTCAGAGAGATACTCGCACCCAGCGGGGAGTCATAGGCTCTGCCATGGGCCCCCAGTGTCTCTGAGGCTCTTTGAGATCCTGGGATGAAAGCTGCCAATTGTCTTGGAACCTGGGACATCCCAACAGGCTGCTTCCCCTAATGCCCCAGTCAGTGCATTTCCCAGGACGCTGTTCTTTCGGGGCCTGTCTCTTGTGTTCACCCCTCAGCTCCAGTGGGAGTCTGGCTCAGGTGAGACAGACTCAGGAGGGGTGGCAGCATGTGTCCCTTTGCAGGCCTGCTTTTCTTTCAATAAAGAGATTTGTTTTGAATCTATGAGCCTGATGTTCATTTTTCAAGCGGCGGCTGCATCCGTGAGGTGCTCAGACAGGCTTGGCTGTGGTAAAACTCCTCTCCCGGGAACAAACAGCCATCACAGCACTATTTATTTATTAGCAGGAGGACAATTTGGAGATGGATTGGCCAGTCTGGCAAGATCTGGGCCCTACATCAAAGAGGACAGCAGGGCTGGATGACTGGAAGTCAAGTGAGAGGTGTGGGGTGGAGAGATGCTGTGGCTGAGCTGTAGGATCTAGGGCTCAGATCCTCCCAGGCAATTAGGGTCAATATACCTTAGAGGATGTGGCCTGTCTGTCCAGTTTGTTCTTTCCTCTAGCAGTTGATGGGCAGATGAGGTGCTCTCTTCCCAGGTGCTGCCTATCAGCTTGTGAGCTTTTGTTATGAATGAAACAAAACAGATCCACGAGCCTGCACTGCTCGGCTACTCCTTCTGTTTTCGATTCATTTCCCTTTCAAACCTGACTCAACTTCTTTGCGCTATTTTTAATTCAAGGAAACCAGTTCTTTACCAGGCAGAATAAACCAATGAAGGAACACACAGATTCTCCTAATAGCAGGGCCCTATGGGTTAGACAGCTGGCTGCTGAGAGATAGGGCATGTTTCCTCTCTTTGGACATGTGGCAGGACCCTGAACACCTGGGAAGAGTTTCTGTTCGTCGTTCAAGGCTGTAAATCCAATCTATAAGGTTAGAGGTCAAATCAGAGTTTTGCCAGTATTTTATGGGATCAGCTGAATGGCTAGACTAAGCTTCCCTGAGCTGCCTAAGGGTTTTAAGCATCCAGCTCATTTTAAAATTAATGGTATCCAAATCCCCTACCTCTGCTCTAGTAAAGCAGGAGGTGTTTGCATGTGACTATTCAAAGGGGCAAGGGATATTTCTGGGTCCTGTCACTTCCTATTGTGTTAATGGTGCCACAGCCGGATTGGTGCCTCTAAGGGTATGTCAACGCTGCGAAGTTGTCGACAAAACTTCTGTCTTTCACAGGTACTTCGAAAAGCCCCCCCTGTGAAAGACAAAAGTTCTGCCGGGGCAAGCGGCAGTGTGAGCCTGGCTTTGCCGGCAGGAGCGCTCTCCTGCTGACAAAGCTAACGCCGCTCAAGGGGCGGGAAGTATTTTGTCAGCAAAAGAGTGTTTACACACGCTGACTTTGAGCTGCAAGGCTGTGTCGACAGGGCTGTGTCGACACAGCCTTGCCGCTAAAAGCTGCGTGGTGTAGACAAGCCCTAAGATTCTCCATATACATAGCAATAGCCCAAGGAAATGACAATAATCATATGTGGAATTTGTCCATTGCAGACAACAGGCTCGTGCATCCTGCTCCACTTCTCCAGGGCGACAGCAGGCCAATGAGGGCTGTCTCATCACCACAGCTGTGATTTCCAAGAAGGACCTTCTGGAGACGATACCATTGCTTCTCATGGTGGGGGAGTGTTGACCAACACGCAGATCCCTAACCTGGATGAACTTGGCCATAGTTTAGTCAGTTGGCTCCTGTGCCTTAGACAGTCATTTAATGTACCTTTCCCTTTTGTTGAACTAATCAGTCAACGGCTACCTCCATTGATCTGGGCGGGGCTGGGGTGGGCACACCACAGAACTTGTGTGAAGAAGATGAATGTTTGGGCTTGGAAAAATCACCTCTTTAGAAGCCTTATCCCACTGAGGGGGGCGGATGTCCCAGTTGCCTGGGCGCCATGGCATCTGGGTTCTATTCATGGCTTTGCCACCAACCCTGTTGTGGGACCCTGGGCAAGTCCCTTCACCTTTCTGTTTAGATTGACAGCTCTTCAGGGTAGGGACTGCTTCTCCCACTGTGTTTGTATAGCACCTAAAACAATGGGGCCCTGATCTCAGGTTGGGACTTTTAACTGCTAATGTAATATAAATAATAAGAACCCTGTAGTTTTTTGGGGTGGGGGTGGGGCCCTCAATAACCCAATCTTTATATTCATTATTACGTCTACTGTAGATTTATGGTACCACCTGTAGATTATATTTACTCTGTAGATACATTTGGTGCTTTCCACAGGGTAAAAATGTGCTGAACAAACAAAAAGATTATCTCCCCCAAGGAGTTTATAGTCTAAGTCCAGAGGGGTTATAATACAGTATGGAACAAACACAGGGTGGGTGTGGACTTTAAAGCTGGAATGTTTCTCTGTTTTTCTGGTCGTGTCCTTCTTGGACTCTGCAATACATACTGTGACCCATGGCACCTAAATATCTGTTCTAATTAATAAGCCAAATGGGTGTGCACATCGATGTACTGCAAACAGTCAGAACACTATCAAGTTGGTAGAAACACCCTCACCTTTGTAAAGAACAGAATTCAAGATAGACTAAATGGCAGTGTAACAAAGCAAAGACTGAGGGAATGACTGGGGTGCATGAACATTATATTAATGTTTAGTATTGCAAAGTACAAGATAACATCTTGTGGACTGAATCTGTTGTGTTCACAAACATCTTCCTACTAATTATACCTAGCTGTTATGTGGCACTTTTAATCAGGAGTGGGCAAAACACTTCACAGAGGAGGGCAGTAGCATTATCCCCATTTTACAAATGGGCAAACTGAGATGCAGAGAGAGAACGGCCCAGATCCTCAAAGGTATCAGGGCTCCTAACTTCCACTGATTTCAATGGTTTACTTGACAATGTGGGCCAAAGTGACTTGTTCAAGGTCACCTAGCAAGCCAGTAGCAGACTTGGGAACAGAACCGAGCTCTCCTAAGGTCCAGTCCAATACTCTATTCATTAGGCTATACCACCTTCCTAAGTAGGTGATTTTGTTATTTTGTACTGTGGTTCCTGTCGGTATATCCGCAAACACAGTCTTTTGGCTCCAGTATGAATCTGCGGCAGGAACCCGTAGATTTCATCTCTGTTTTTAAAAGCAGGGTCTTCTGTCTCTGTCAGGCATGCCTGGGGGTTCTCTGGCTCACACGCGGCTCCTGACCGTCAGACTCACAAAACAATTTTATTTCTATATTATTATTGCTTAGCCCTGCATATTTTTTTCTCTTACCAAAACACGTTTTGACCTATACTGTACGATGCCATCTGGTAGCCGTTCTGCAGTGACCCAGTGCAGCTCATGGTGGACTCTGGAGTTTGTGCAGGGAAGTATCAAACAGAACACAAGGCCCTTTCCTGCATTCATTGCGCAGCCTCCTCTCCCCCTAACACCAGGGCTGGATCTGGCTGTAATTTTCTATGATGAAACCTGGATCCATTTCCTATTTTTGAAGTACAGGAACTATTAAAAAATGGCTCCCAGCTGTGATGTTATAGAGTGGACAATAAAAACAGTCCAAACAGTAATAAATGATGGTACTTGAAATGTGAATACCACATTTCATTCCTAAGTGCTTTGCAGACAATCGGCCTGACCCTGCAACCTTCCCGCCTTTCCTCCCATGATTATTCTCATTGACTGGACCAGGAATTAGGGGTGTAGGATTGGGCCCCAAAGACCACTGACATGCAGCCACCTCTGGGGTGGAGGGCAGGGCAGCAGCTAAGTAACAAATTTCACAAAACTCAGTGTGTGGGGAGGAGGGGTAATTTTGACCAAGGACCCCTGGGGCAAACCCATCATGTTATTCTATAAAGATTCCCCGCAGCTGCTGGAGTTTTTGGCCTGGGGGTTTAAGCAGGTTGCAGCCAGGAACTAATAATGGTCATTATCCAGACATCCCATAAGGATGGGGGGCCAGGAGAGCTGTAACCGGCTGCAACTTCAACCTTTGCAAACAACGAATGATAATAATAAATCCCGCCCCTCTGCGAACGCACTTTGCAAGGAGGTGAGCGGCCTGTACCGGGGGAGGGAGGTGGGAAACACAACCCAGAGCAGGCACCCATTGCAAACCAATCCCAATCCAGCCAGCTCAGGAGAAACCCTCCAGCTCCTTCCGGGAAGGGGATGTGCCCACATGGAAACAGTTGCAATCAGACCGGCTGGAGGATGCAACTACAGGCATCTTCCCCCAGCAGAGTCCCGCAGCGCCAGCTGTCAGGGCTCCCCGTTGGCTGCACGCGTCCACCAAGCCTAGACGCCCTGCTCCCCACCCCCTTCCGCTCGCCCCACAAGTGCCCACCCTCTTTTTCCCTGCCTCTGATTGGCCAGAGGTTTCTTTTGTTAGCAGCTAAGAGAGCCTGCTATTGGCTAGGGAGCAATGTCCATCCGATCCTGGAGCAGCCCCCTCCCCTTTCCCCTCTTCCCAGCCCGGACCCTGGGAGCGCGAGGGGGTTTGGGGTGGGTGGGTTTTTGTGTGTGTGCGCGTGCAACCATTTGCCTCTTGCACTGGGCGCAGGGAGCGGCGGTGGGTGCGTGCGTGCAGGGGGGGGCCCGGCTGCCTGGCCCCCAGCGAATGCAATAAACAATAATCATCATTAGAGGGGGGAGAAAGAGGCGTTTCCTTCGGAGCATGCATCCATGGGCGGACTGAGGCCGGGAGGAGGCGGCGGCGGCGGGGTCGGTGTTGCAAGAAGACCCCTTGGCAGCAGATGGGATTTGTGCCTTATTTGAGGATCTCCTGGGCAGTCCCTCTCCCCACTTGTGCTGCTGTCGGGGGGAGGGGGGGGGAAGAGAGAGGAAGTTGCATTGATTATTTTTTGCTGCTGCTTCGCTTTCCCGGATTCCCACACGCCGAGGCGGTTTTTAAATCTGGATGATTATGCATGGAAAATCGCCCCCTCCCTCTAAGGAGCCAACCCGTGCGGGCAGCCAGCTCCCCCTGAGCCTGCCTGCAATTGTGCCTTCACTTATGCGTGTGTGGGGGGAAGGGAACTGAGCTGTTTTTCTTGCTTTTGACCCCCCCCCCCCCGCCGCTCTTTGGAGGGGAATCAGTGATCATCTGGGATTTCCACCTCCAGCGAGTCAATCCTGCCCCGACTGCTGGATTTGCTCCCCTTGCATGGGGAGAAGCGGCGAGCGGGTGAAGAACTCTCGGGCTTGGTTTTTATTATTATTTTTTTTTGAGGGAGGGGGCAGTTGCTTTGCGCCCCAGCCCGGCTTGTGTGTGCGCCTTCTACACCGTCCCTCCCCCGCTCCCTGCCTCTGGACATTGGGATGTGACCAGCTGAGGTCCAGGCGACGCTGACCCTTCGCTCCGGGGGCTCGTGATCCTGGAAGCGGGTTGAGAATATCGCCGCACAACTCGCCTTGGAGGGATTGTCAATTACCGCCCCTCCCCGCCGCCCACCCGCCCGTCAGAGACCAGAAGCCTGGGATCTAGTTTTGTTTCGCTACTAAACAAAAGTGGGGACAACTGCTTGGGGTTGCAGGGCCACAAAACCATGTCTGCTAAAGAGAACCCCTGCAGGAAATTTCAAGCCAACATTTTTAATAAAAGCAAATGTCAAAATTGCTTTAAACCTCGGGAATCCCATTTGCTCAATGATGAAGATTTAAACCAGGTGAGTCTCCTTCCGGTTTTATTCCACCCCTCCCCCTCTAAATTCACCTTGGGTTTTCAAGTGAACTGTTTTCATAACTGCACTTGGGTCAACAATGTATCTTAAGTGGGCCAGTCCGGCTTTCACGTGGACTTAATCGGTGCCGCTTTAAATGAGAGGAAATGGGATTTTTAAAAATATTCCCCCACTTTCATGGCTACATTAGGTCCCGTTACACACACGCGATTATTTGTTTTGTGATTGCTTTAAACCGCTCTCGTTTTATTTAGACCCGAGTGGGAAATACTGAAAGGCGAGAACTTGGGATGGGGGGTGTGTGTGTGTTGGGAGAGAAGGATTTGAAGTTTTAAAAGGAAAAATTGAAGATCGCAGGGGAAAATAATTTGGATTTTAAAGCCTTTCTTGTAAAGTAGGGCATGGCTTTTTCTTTGCATAGCTGGAGGGGTTCCCTGAAAGGAAGGAATCTTAAAATGTAATACACAGAGGTTTCAAAGGCAAGTTCTACCAAATCAAAGTCACTCCAGGCGCCTGGGAGAGCTGCTTTCCTTCAGTAAAACCTTTGTAAACTGATGGGCGGGGTCCGTGCTGCACGCCTGTCTGCTCTGGAAGTTTTACATTTCAGTTTTCTAGGAGGTTTCTTTCCTTGCATGCCTTTCATCTGCATATTCCCGCACGATCGCTTGGAGTTAGTAGAAAACGCGTCTTAAAAGTATGCACCCAGCGCCGTTGATCCGCCCTGAATGGGGTGTGTGTGTGTGTTTTCGCGGGGCTGGGGGGTGGGGAGGAATAGGAGCGGTGATAATCTAGCAGCATTCTCCCATTTTCCCCTCCCACTGCACTAGTTCTGACATCTAGGCTTGCAATCCTATTATGGAAATGAGATCAGACATATTGCTGGCCGAGATAATGAAATCTGAAGGCTAATATGGAAAAAACGTAACTAGGAAAACGAGTGTGTGTCTATAGTGTGTGGGGGGGTGTAATTGACAGACAGTGCTTGAGCAAAGGGAAATATCCTAAAGTTTGCCCCCCCCCCCCCCCAGCTCTTCTCTGTTTCCACAGCTTAGCAATGTGATTCATGGGGATTTGTGACTCAGAAATGCCTGATGGCTTTGTTACTTTCGAGAAAACTGTGTGTGTGTATGCGTGTTGTCCAGCCAGGCTACTATCTACGTGGAGAGCTTGACTTTAACCCGCCTCACACAAGCCCTCTTTTGCTTTGTTGCTATTCAGTCTCCTCCACTCCCTCCCTCCCCCGCCTTGGGTGAATTTCAATGTCCATTGGAAGGTTGTCCAGGGGCCCTGCCTGCGCCCTGGATTTGACTTTATTGTGGGTGTCCTGACTTTTGTGTGTGGAGTGGGATGTGGGATTCGGGGGCTCCTTCTGGAAAAGTGGGTACAGTATGGATTGCCCAAATACTTTCAGGAGGTTTGGGAGGGGAGTGGATGATTGCCCCCCCCCACCCCCTTGTGGAGTAGGGTGTCCTGATTTTATAGGGACAGTCTCTATTTTTGGGTCTTTTTCTTATATAGGCTCCTATTACCCCGCCACCCCATCCCGATTTTTCGCATTTGCTGTCTGGTCACCCTGTGGAGTAAATTAGTTTATACTAAGTATAGCTATGAGATCTCATTCTCAGCAAGGGAGAAATAACTCCACTTTAAAGATAAGGGAAGGTGTGTGTGTGTACGAGATACACCCTTCTTTAAAGTATTTTACTTAATGATGGCCTCAGTTTCTGTGATCTTACATGTCCCCACCTCCACTCCCCCAAACTGAAGAATCTCATTCAGTGGATACATTAGCACAGACAGCTTGGTGTAGTGAAGGAAGGTTGCTGTAAGGAAGTTCCGTGTCCATGCATTCTGGCCATATGTTGGCTAGTTCTTAATGTTAAAGAGAAACTCATCTGACCAGGAGGCTTTGCTCTTGAAAAAACAGCTAAGGGCGTGTGTATGGGTAACACCAAGATGTAAACATGAATAGCTTTTTCATCTGGCCTCTGTGGTTAGGTTTTTTTGCAGTCCTGTTGGATGGTTGTTTGGGGTGTCCCAGAATCCTAAACAGTGGTTGGAATGAGACTTAATCATGCTTATGGTACTGCTGCCTTGGCAGGTCCCATTTACACTGCAGAATGGAACCCATGCTTTCCCCATATTGTACAGGGACAAAGCTGTTGCCATCATACCAATGGGCCTATAGATAGCCAGGCTAGAAAAGTCCTTTTGAGTCATCCAATCTGACCTTTTGCTGCTTGGCTTGAGGGGAAGATGAGGATACTTGGCACTGAAATGCTCACGTTTCTGATTTTATATAAAACTGTATGCGCTCGACTGTATCCATCTCCTCCATCCTCTGCATGTCATGTGTCATCTGAGATTGTAAGCTCTTTGGGACGGGGCCTGTCTCCTCCTATGTATTTGGCTAGCACTTGGCACAGTGTGGCCCATATCCTGCTCAGTGCTACAACAGGAGTTGATACTTCTCAGTATCATAGTTAAATCAAACAAACATCCAAACTAACACACTCAGAGTCCTTTACTCATAATCGTACTTAACACTTCCAGGTTCAAAGCCTGGCGCAAATGCTAAACCGTTAATCCTTGGAGTTCTACTCTCAGGTTCACGAGTTGTTTTTCTGTGTGACTCTGTGTTAGTTGAGAGTGAGCTGTTACAATTGACGGTGGCTTCACTTCTTGTCGTGCTCATTGAATGCACAGGATCTCCGCACAGCCTCTTCTAGATCTGTATCGACGTATGCAATGGACTCCTTGTTAGTTTGCAGTCGTTGTGGATGAGGTGGCTTTCCTATCTCAAGGGCTCTTTTAGACACTAGTCCAGCAAAGCACTTAAGCAGGTGCCTAACTTTTAAGCCTGTGAGCCGCCAGGCTGACTTCATTGGCTGCTCCCCCCTCGAATAAAACCTGGTAGTTTGAGTCTGTAAAGTGTCAAAGCTCCCACGCCAGGTCATGTCAAAGGGCTTAGATACAAGCTGTTCTCCCGCTTTCCCTGGCACATGTGGTGTAGTTGGGGGGGAAGCAAGAGGCGGGTGGATTTACTGAGGTCACTGTTTGGGCTGTAGCCTGTCTAGACATTGATGGTTCCTTCTGCGTCATTGCCCGTTAATGGCGTGCCTCAGAATGGAGGAAAGCCGAGTTCCGCTTCTTCTCCTCGTGCTGCTAACGGTGCTGGTGTCTTCTCTGCTGCGGTGGTGTGACTCGGGAGTGATGCTGTCGGGGCCAGTGGTGTTACTCCATATTTCCATCAGTGTAACTGAGAGCAGAATCTGACCCGTTTGATTTAAAGATACAAGTGAGTAGTTGCCCCTGACAGAGATGTCACATGGCAACTGCTGTCCATCCAGAAGAGAGCATCTGCGGTATTTTAGGACCGGAAGAAGTTCACAGGGGGCTGGCCCACAAAGCTACTTAAATAGTCCATTGTGCCAACTTCCTTTGCAGTTGGCAGTAGGTGCCCCATTCTAGGCAGCAGAGAGGCCAAGGGTTGAATGGGTTGGGAAGTCCCTGTCCTGAAAAGACGTTTGCACCCAGAGCAAGGATGTTGCTGGTGTTCTGTGTTTATATAGAGGACATCAGCTTTTCAGAACTGCCATTCTTTCTGCCACATGCAGTTAAAACCATCCTTATCACTTAAAATATTAATGGGACGGTGTCAGGACAGATTTACCCTTCAGATCAGGTTTTGTAGACAAGCTTTTTAAAACTCTAGGCCAGGAAAGATAAATGTTCCCGTGATAATTAAAATTAATTCTAACAACTCTTTGCAAGGAGAAAACATTCCTCTGCTCTAGTAGAAATCCAGATTTTGCAACATGGCACAAGAAATGATCCGTTTACTGGTCCCATCCTGCGAAGCTTTATTCACATTGCCCTTAGTTGCACGAAGAGATCTGTTGCAGTCTAGGACTGGGCTGTATCTTAAGTGCATATCCTTTGGTCTCTAGGAAGAAGGAAACCTGCTCCTGAAAATGAAATTAACTAGAAACTGACTTGGTTTTATTTGAATCTCTGTGTTCCTCTGGGCATTATTGCCTTCATCTTAATGTTTTGGATGATAGTAGACATGTGGGTTTGCCATCTGTGTGCCCCTCTGCCCATTTACTCTCCACGAACTGCCTCCGCTCAGATGATTTCTGGAATGTTGGGAAGGGGTGCAAATCTTGTTCACGCGCAGTCTTTCATTGTGCTTTTGCCCAGGTTGTTTCTATCTGTTAACCCTGTGACTCCTTAGACTGTTGGTAACTTTCTTACCTCCCTCGCGCTTGCAAAGAAGAATGTTCAAAGTGGTGGGTACCTTTATCTCTTGGCTTTAATAATAAAAAATAACGTCAGTAAATGGGGTTGTGGTCTGGCAAGTTTATAAGGGTAGCCAGTGTTGGGGCAGGAAAATGGAGAAGCTGAGACCTCGCGGTGGTGCTGGTGACTTTGGGCGTACAGTGAGTGGGGAGATACAAGGGAAATTTAGGGTGGGATTTGGCTTAACTTTGCTTCCATTGAAGTCACTGGGAGTTTTACCAGTAGTAGGAGTACAGAATCAGGCCATGGCTGACAAGTGTAGGGATCTCTTCCTATTTGAAGACTTTGTCACACCATAAAGGGCTCAATTTTGCTTTAGTGAAAGCGCAGCTTAAGGAATTTGTCAGGGATCTCCTAGGAGATTTACGTGCCGAGCCCCACTCAACGGGAAAAACACTTGTAATCTGGTTTGGTAGAAAGTGGCCCTGTGTGCTTGTTCGCAGGGAGGATGGGTGAATAAACCCAATTTGGAGATCTGCATGCACTGGGCATTGCAGTAATGCAGAACAGCATGGGCTGTAAGTCGGATGAGACCCTAGTCTTGTTGCTCCAGACTGGCTTGGCCAGTCTTCCTCTGAGACCAGAGTTTTTTTGTCTCTAACAGTCACTTGTGCAAGAAGCTGTTTTCGCTGCTCAGCTCTGGGTAGTTTTCTTCTGGCCACCAGTGGCTGTTTGTTGGGAAT